CAAATGCACATACAAGTAAAAGGAAAAACTGTAAAATATATGTTAAAAAACATTAACATTTAAATTATGTGTTAAAATATATAATTTATTGGAACTAAGCTGGAAAAAATAAATATGAAGGTCAATTAAATGATAAAACATGAGGGACAGTTCTGCTTTTTAACTTATTTGGTGCATTTTAAATGCATTTATTTATTTAAAAGTTCATTTATTTATTTCTGCTTTTATTTATAATTATGTCAGTGTCGGTCCTCCATACTGCAGAACTTGGAAGAGGTAGTTCAGTGACTGGATCAGGTGTGTTGGAGCAGGGAAAATTTAAAACGTGTAGGGCTGCGGCCCTCGAGGACCAGGATTACCTGGTCCTACAGCAGGATACCCCTGCTGTAAAGTAAATAGACTTTGAAAGGAACTGTTTTGTTTGGAGGCATTAAAAAAAATCTGAATTTAATCAAACTCCAGGTATCCCAAATGCATATTACTGTGTACTACATCAAATCTCAGCTCAATAAGACTAAGTCATAGACATGTTTGTATTGGTTATTGTTGACTGGATGTGGTGAACATCTTGAATCGAATCAACTCCAAGGCCTAATCTATAGAGGTAAATTTGTGTTTTTATGATTCAATCAAACAAAAAGCATCTTCAATCAAAAATAATAATTTCAATCAAAAATTTTTTTATTGAAATTATTTTTTGATTGAAGATGCTTTTTGTTTGATTGAATCATAAAAACACAAATTTACCTCCATACTAATCGTTTGCAGATCTACAAAAAGCATCTTCAATCAAAAATAATAATTTCAATCAAAAAAAATTTTATTGAAATTATTTTTTGATTGAAGATGCTTTTTGTTTGATTGAATCATAAAAACACAAATTTACCTCCATACTAATCAGTTGCAGATCTACATCAAAGTTCTGAAAGTTTTAGCAAATTTCATCCCGTGGTTCAAGAGATTAAGTGTTGACTCCAATGGTTGATACTCAAGTTTAAAGCAAAGATCTTGCGCAAGTAGCACTTGGAGGTGTTGTGAATGCCTCTTAGCTTCTACCGCATAAGATTTCAGCTCGATAATTGTAAAAGTGACCGAGCTGTAGTTAATTTTGACTTGGCTGTGGCAGACAATTGGGTTGGCTTCAAAGTCAATCAACCGTAGACATACAGTATATTCCATCCATCCATCCATCCATCCATTTTATAAAGTTTCATTAAAACTCATCCAGTAGCTCGTAAAATATTTTTGTGAAAGTCAGATGCAGGTAAAAACAATCATTTGCCTTTGAATTCCAGTGTGGAGGGATAAAAATGTCTCGGTTTATAAAAATTAACAAAGTCTGAGGCTTTCCAGTTTGGAGGGTTTGTATTTTCACTTTCTAAAAGTAAATAAAACAGCTGAAATATCAGCTCAAATATTTAGTTTCTGCTTTTCATTTATGTTCAAAGTCACCAAAATAAGTGAGGAAATAAGCTTCAGGAAGCAAAATTGTTGTGTTCTGCCACTCGATTACCTAAACAAAATGACTAAGATATGACTTTGAAAAAAAAAGTTGAGACTGAAGTTTTCCTTTATTTCAGCGAAACAATGGCAAACCACATCCTACATGTATTACAACAGTGGCTATGCAGTAAAAGCATTATGAAATAAAAAATACAATGGATAAGATCTAGGCTGAAATTTTCTATTTAGCAAGAATAGGACAAATATTTAACTTTCAAAACTACCATTGTTCTATTGGAAAGCACTCATGCTGCAACCTTTTCACTCAACTTTTCTGAAACTTGCTGCCAGTTCAGAAACTTTAAAAAAAAGAAAAACGATTTTCAACTTTTAATATATTCTCTTTGTACCATTTTAAAAGAAAAGTAGGTCAATTTGTTGCTTCTAAATGCGTTACGAATGTAACTAAAGAGCATTGTAATCTATAAATGTCTCTTTTAAACAATGATCAGTCATATGATGGGATCAGCGTGACCTTTTTAAACACATCTACAGTGAACCATTACAGAATTTAAGCACACTAAACATCCTTTAACCAAGGAAAACAGTCATTTTCTCGTGACTTCTTAAGAGGGATATCGTCCATCCAAAGTGACACTAATAAAAAATAAAAACTAATATCAAAGGCCTTTGCTTTGGTAATACTTGTATACATGTGCAGTTTTGTGCCTCGACACACCCTGCATTCTAGGATGTCTCTTTGGTACAGAGGTAATAGCATAACACACAGTCAGCTGTCCACAAAAGAAAAAAAAATGACTTGTTTGAACAAGTTACAGAATTAGCATTAGCATTCCATTCAAATAATAAATATCCAGACACATTCTATACATGCTTGCTAAAACTGACTGAATGGATTTTCTAAACAGRGGTTCAGGACACCTGACTTGTTTTCAGTTAGAAACAAAAAACAGAGGAATCAGGTGGTTGTTTATAACTAAACATGTAAGGTAATTAAACAGTTTTCTGTCCAGCTGTCAGCTTGTCTGCGTGCAGAGCGAAGGTCTCAGCTACAATAAGAGGGAAAACTAACGTGGCGTCTGCATACACCTGGAAACCAAAAACAGAAAAAAAATATTTAGTGTTGCATTACAGTTATATTTAATATGCAATACACTAAAATCCTGTCTTTTTGTAGCAATTCTGTGTTTTTATACCAAATACTTGACAAACATCGCCATCTTGTGGCTGAAAGCAGGAACCACGGGTTCTGGTTATAAATTAAATCAGCTAAAACCTTCTTATGCTTCATTTGTCCTGACAAACTAGTAATTAAGCTTCTTTTCTTCCTGTCTGAAAACATTAATTTTAGTGCAAATGAGTGATATTAAAATAAATTAAATATAACAGTATTGTTGGTTTTTAGCAAATTAGGTCTTAAATTGACTTCTTTAAGCAATGAACATTACAAATTTTTGAAAGTACAATAAAAAATTGCATGCCCTTTGTCGATAACATTGCTGTTAATATAAAAAATGTTTTTTTTAATTTGCTGTTTCTGATTTAATATCTAATTGCTTTTGTAAAAAATCCTGATAAATATCTTGAAGACAGATCCTCATTTTTGTTACTAAAACATCTGAAACCAGTTCAAGTTCATTCATCAATGAATACAAAAAAGGTGAAGCAGACAAAAGTAAATCATCTGAAAAAGAAATAATTTTTCTAACGATAAAAACAATAGCAAACAGCAGAACACTGATGTCAATGATCACTTGTGGTCAGGTTGGGAACAGGATGRGAAAAAYTCTTACTTTTACAGGTTTGGCATCYGTTCGGATTTTGCCCCAGGATACAGCCTCATCGGGTCGGGCCCCAGCGTCAGACCCGTCAAACTCCTGACCCGTGTTCACGTACACGGCGTAGTCTGCTCCGTTCCTCTGAAAGGAGGGCAGCCAGTGTCAAAACTAATAAAGCTTTTTAAAGCAACCCAAACTCTAAAACTTGAACACAAATTTCCTCAATGAGCGACAAAGGATTCTTCTTAGCATTTTTATTTCCACTTGAACCAAAAGTATAAAAATACTCATTTAACCTTTAAATTGTAGTAAGGTGGAAACACCTGACTATATTGGGAACGARCTTTAATTTCCAAACATTTGTTGAYGTTTAAAGAAAATACAAGGCAGATCATGTCTGAGTGTAGAACTATTTGGTTACCATAAGATTAGAGTTGGCTATATGGTGCTTCACCAGTCCTCCTCCCAGGATGATCATTCCTGTCTTCTTGGCAAAAATTGCCAGACCGTTCAACCTTCGAATATCTGAAATAAGAGCCCCRATCATTACGAGAACAACTTTAACCACTGCAATGATCTCACTCTGTAAACGTTCTGCTGCTTCTACCTTCAACGATGTCCAAAACCAAGCCAGGGTTCTTGAATGAGTGGAAGTAGATCATGTCTCCCAGAGAGCCGTCTGTGAGCGCAGGACTGAACACAGGGATGTTATTCTGCAAACAAAGAATACACGTTTCATAATGTATTCAAATACAAAACCTCACAGCAAGTTAAAATTATTACTGTTATTTTTGTTGTATTTGTTCTTTAGGGAATCCATGATTAACCTTGTAGGCCCAGTAGTAGACAGAGTCTGTGTTATTTATCTCCTTGCCAAGCCGATGGATCATTTTAGAAGGAGTCCATCGGACGCCCTGACAAAAATCAGTTTTACTTGTTAGCAAAAAWAWAARARARARAA